ATCGCTGACGTGCACCTTGTACTCCAACGCCTTCTGGCCGTCTTTGATCAGCTGTTCTGTCCATCCGAGACACTTCTTAAGGCTCTGGTTCATCTTCTGGCTGTCGTTCAACATCTCGCGATGTTTGGAAAGGTCGAGCTGGAGGCGCTTCTCATCGCGTGAGCGGTGTGCTTCGTCTCGCTCTAGCTGAGCGCTCGGGCTCAGAGCACCCTCATCGAATGAAGACTCGCTATCCTCTGGATCCTCCTCTTCCTCCTCAGGTGTTTCGTCCTCCTCTTCTGCTTCAGACATGTCCGACAGGTCCCCTATATTTCCAGAGCCAATGGCAGAAGTTTCAGGAGGCGAGCTAGCCATATCAGCAGAGAAATGCCCAGCTCGGCTCATGCGACGGAAGCGTCTGAGCTCCGCCTTTTGCTTTCGGACCTCCTTCTCCAATGACCGGTTGATGGCGAGGAGCGAAGAGTTGCTGATTTCGAGGTCAAGCACTTTACGCTCCCTTCGTGCATTGGCAGCAAGTTCGTTCATCATCTCGAGTGCACTCTTGGTGTCGCTGTTCCTCTTGCCGTCTCTTGTTGGGCTTGCTGATACTGGAGATCCGACAGGGGAGAACGCGGTGTAGCGACGAGCGGGCGTAGGTGCTGCATCATCGGGGAGGGAGGCACGATTCTCAGTCTGAAGTGGGCTTGGCTGCATGGCGGATGGTTCATTAGTCGGTGCCTTCTTCGCACTCGTCACAGAGTCAATGGACGACAGACTGGAGCTCTTGACGTGCCCTCGTTTTATAGTGGAGGCGACGCTAGATCTCCGTCTGGGGCCATCAGACACATCTGGCGTGTTCGATCCAGTCAACATGGCGAGAGCGGAGTTTCCTGAACTGCCTCTGCTGAGGGCTGGCCGGACCTGAGAGGCTCCCTTACGATATGAGAGATGTGCAAAGTCCTTTGTAGGCGAAGGCGGGCGAAGCGACCCCCCTTGTCCGCCTTCCAAGGGCGGGAGCAGATCTGGAGATGTAGGAGGCGGCGGTGTGAGAATCGGCTGGCGGCCTTTTCTTTCGGAAAGGGAGTCGGCGTGGAAGAACTTGCTTTCGGGCTGGGAGTCGGCATGGAAGAACTTGCTCTCGGGCTGGGATCTCCCCAGGGACGACAGCGGTGGCGATGGTACGGTGGGCTTCGCAGGGGGCTCGTCTTGTCTTCCGTCGGCGTAGAAGAATGCGGGCGCCTTCTTCGTGGGCGCCAGTACCGGTGCTGGTTGTTCGTGCGGACGTGCGTCATTGGCATGGAAGAACAGGGATGAAGCGTCTTTCCTGCCAGCGTCGGACGGAGCGGTGTTGTACATGGAGAGCGAGGGCCTCGGGGTCGGCGTGACATGGCTGCTGCTTGGTCCCGGTGTGCTGCGCGGTCGCCCCCCTACCGCTGATGAACCGCTCCTTCCCACGGCGCTGTGCCCACTGAATCCGCCAGTCTGGTCCCTGGTGTGGTGGTCTACCGTGGAGCCTGGTCGCGAGCTGCTCGGGGTAACAGAGGGGGTGCCGCTGGGCGTGGACGAAGCGCTGTCTACGCCGACCCGTGACTTCCTCGTGGAAGAGCGAGGCGTGACATTGCTGCTCAGGAAGGGCTTGATGGGCGTCACCTCGTTGTGCGAGGGCGCCGGGGCCGCAACCTTGGGCGTGGTGCCATTGCTGGTGCGGGCGGTGCGGGTGCTCGAGGAGCTGACGGTGGAGGAGGCGGTGGGCGCAACGGCAAGTCTCGGGGTCAAGGGCGTCTTCGCGGCGGTTCGGGTGCTGGCGAGCGTCGGCTTCAGCGGCCGTGGGTTATTTCGGTCGGTTCGTTCGATGGGCATCCTCTGGTGAGTGCGGCTATAGTTGTGGTGTTATACTGCGGATGCGGAGGGAGATCATGGCCTTGCCGGGGGGCAATGGGCGCGGCTCGGGGGGTAATGGCGGTGTTGACGATGGTGTGTTGATGGACGCTAGTAGCGTGTCGGATGTCTGCAGGTCATACAGCACGGCGCTCTACGTGTATTGCCCCACTTCTACAATGCCAGCGGTGGAGGAGTGCAGATGGTTGGCGTCCAGTCCATGGTCGGGGCCAGACAGGAGCAGGAGAAGGGTTCAGGTGGGGAGGCGTCTGTGTTGGTGCGAGATGAAGTAACTTTGGTGGCCCTGAGTGATCCTGGAGGCTTTCAAACGCCGCTAGGCCCAGCCGGGCGTAGACGTGAAAGCGCGTCATGACCTCTCCAGGGCCTCATCTCGCGTTTTTATGGGGCCTCCTGTCGCCCTCACAAAATGACCCCCCACTTACCATGAGCGATGCAGGGTCCGCCCATTCACCACCATCATGCGCGCAGCCCCGTCGCGTACACGTGCCCCAGCATGCACCGAGTCACCGTAGTCACGACGCGTCCGACCTGCCTCGAGTGGCCACCGCAACCACCATGACCACCGCCAAAGGAGATGAAACCTCCCGAGATATACCAGAGCGGCCGCAGCCTACCCGAGCCACGTCCACCGAGCACGACTCCCTAAAGTACCACCTCCTCGGCCCGTCGCTCACCAAAGCCGGACAAGACAGCGTAGACCAATCGAAGGTCTCAGAGGTCATCTATAATGCATCCAAGGGCTCCAAGTTCTTCAACAACGAGGAGGTCAAGGACAAGAACCTCACCGAGAAGATCAACAAGATCCTGGAAAAGAGACGCCAGCTGGACAAGATCGACTTGACCACCGATCAGCGTAGAGCCGATGACTACATCGCTGAGCTGGAGCTGAGCAGGGACCTGAGCCAGGTCATCGTACACCTCGACTGCGATGCTTTCTATGCGGCAGTTGAAGAGCTCGATCGCCCGGAACTGAAAGACGTTCCGTTCGCAGTCGGCAAGGGCGTGCTGACTACCTGCAACTACCATGCACGCAAATTCGGCTGTCGCTCTGGTATGGCTGGGTTCGTCGCCATGAAGCTATGTCCGCAGCTCATCTGCGTTCCTATGAATTTTGCGAAATACATGGCCAAGGCCGAAGAGGTCCGTGAAGTACTGGCGCTATACGATCCGGACTTCCAAAGTGCGAGCTGCGACGAGGCATACCTTAATTTGACACAATACTGCCAGGAGCACCACATGACGCCTGAGGAAGCTGTCAGCCAGATGCGTGCAGACGTTTTTGAAAGAGCCAAGATCACCGTCTCCGCTGGCATCGCCGCCAATGCTAAACTTGCCAAGATTTGCTCGAATCAGAACAAGCCAAACGGGCAGTTCCTCCTTGCCAGCGACAGGCAGACAATCATGGAGTTCATGAAGACCCTTCCTACGCGAAAGGTCAATGGTATTGGTCGCGTCTTCGAACGAGAGCTGGATGCCATAGGCGTCAAGACGTGCGGAGACATTTATGCACATCGAGCATACATGGCAAAGCTATTTGGGCAGAAAGCATTTCAATTCTTGATGCAGTGCTATCTAGGCCTAGGGCGTACCGTCATTAAGCCAGCGGAAGATCATGAACGCAAGAGCGTCGGCACTGAGACTACCTTTAGAGAGCTACAAGGCCGCGATGCCCTGCGTGACAAGCTTCGGCATATCGCTGAGGAATTAGAAGGGGATCTCAAACGCACCGAGTACAAAGGAAGAACCCTCTGCATCAAGATTAAGCTCCACACCTACGAAGTACACACGCGACAGACGACGCCACCCTTTGCCATTCACAAAGCAGACGACCTCTTCAAGTACAGTCTACCAATGTTAGAGAAGCTCATGAAAGAGATACCGAACATGAAACTACGCTTAATGGGTTTACGAGCTACGCACATCATCAGCACGAAGAAGCCTGGAATCGACTTCTTCGGCCGCGCAGCTAAGACATCTTCAACCACCACCACTAAGACTCCCACCTCGAAAGACGAAGGCACATGGGAGACATGGCCCGAGGAAGAGTTCGAAGAGGCCGCACGACAGGAACGAAACAACGAAATGAACGAACTAGAGAAGCTGTCTCAGGAACAGGAGCAACAGCAAGGTGAACAGCCGCCAGCCGAATCACAGTGGCAGTGTCCCATTTGCTCTATTCCGCAGGCGCCTGATGACGCGAGCTTCAACGCGCATATAGACTTTTGCCTTTCGAAACAGACTATCAAGGAGGTTGTCAAGTCTACAACGCCGCTGCCGCCCCCGCCGCCAGCTTTGGAGAAGCAGTCTAGTGTTTCCAAAACAGTGTCCAAGAAGGGCAAGCGCGGACGGCCCAAGAACGAAGGCACGTCTTCGGAGCAGGAAGCTAGGGAAAAGAGACGAGCGTTCTTTTCGCTCGGGAATGGATAGGTAATACGAATGTTATACGACTATTCGAAATACCGTGGCCAGGTGTCGCGCGCGTGATGTGATCGAAACGAAAACGTGGGGCAGTCGCGAATGCCGACTGTGCCACACGAATGCATACGTGAGCGTCCGTACCACGCAGCCGAATCTAAACCGACAAACGACAACACACGATTATAGCTCACAGCTTCTAACACATCGCTGCAATACGCGCATGCTATGCCGAGAGTGATGACATCTGCGCGTCCGGCTAGCCAGCACTTCTGGGAAAACGCAGAGCATCTTTCTCTTCGCATCTTTGCACCGGTGTGTGTTACATAGCCTCTTCTAAGACGGCTCGACTCCACAGCGCACAACATGCCGCAACAAGTTACAGTTTATCTGCACAAATGTCGGTGCTTATTTCCGATATAAGCGAGGACTCCTGGATCGTTGGTACGGCCACACGCGTAACCTATCTGGGACGCATGTGGGCATTGTCAGCCTCGCAGCTGCTGCCTTATCACCGGTGAAGGTATATAGCGCCCAAGGTTCTTTGGAAATGAGGGTTTTTTAACTACGATGTTAAGCATCTTACTGAAACAGCGGCGAATTTTCTGGATTTCAGTCCAAGAAACGAGCGAGCAAATACTACGATTTACAGCAAAGAGAAGAATATTGACATCCGCAAACCCGAGTATCACAACGGAACATGAACCATGGAGAACGATCTAATGAACACTGCGACATCTATAGGGTCGGATTGTTTTGGAGAGATAGCCAAAATCTCCGAATACACCTTTGAGCGAGCTGATGCTCGACACTGGGCGTCAAGGCGCATCCGCTTCTTGGTCTATGATGACTCCGATGTCAAACTTGACGATTTCGACAGTGACGACGAAGAAGCGAAGGAACAATACGCTTTAGACTTGAGTCTTGGAAATGTCAAAGCCCGAGACCCAGAAGGAGGTGGCGAGGTTCCAAATGCAAAGGGAGCCAGTGTCGCTGAACGCTCAGAACAAGCCAACAAATCCACACAGACTAAATGCCGCGTTTGCGCATCATATCCCGAGTTCCCGCACAGGTGGAAGCCTAGAAAATTCCGTCTGGTCAATCCGGTGGTTGATCATCCGGAATGGTTCAGTGAGGACGGCGTCGGCTCGTGCGACATATGCATACATTATGTAGCGGTGTCATACTGCTGGCCTCCTCGTGGAGAGAACCCGACTCCGAGAACCTACACGGTCCGTGATCTCAACGGACGCGTCCGCGCCAGTCGCGCTCTCGATGATGTTCTAGATCGTGCTGTGGACTTTGCCAATTCGTATGGATTTCGCATGATATGGATCGATCAAGAATGTCTTCCCCAGCCGACTGAAAATAGCTCGAAAGAAGACTGGGACGAGCAGGAGCTTGGAATACAGTCGATGGATATTGTGTACAACAGAGCTGTGGTCACGGCGGGTTTGCTCGACGTCAAAATCACATCGCAAGAGCAACTTACAGCTATCGAGACTCTGTTGTATCCTGACCAACGGAAGTCAAGTATGATAGACCGCCGCTTCTGCGAACAAATCCTCGACTTCCTTCACAGAGCCAGTCAAGACCGTTGGTACACCCGTGCGTGGGTCGTCCAAGAGGCTATATGTTCTGGAGACGGACTGATGCTGGCTTTCCGGCGCGGTCCAGGTCTTACCTTCCAATCCAGCTTTCGCTTTGGGCGAGAGGAGGGATCGGATCTCCGTCCTTACCATTCACTCGACGATGATCGTGGGATCTGGGAGTCAGAGCTCATTTGCATGCACTTGCGTGGATTCTGGCGCATTCTCGACCAGATGCAATCTCTGCTTACACGCGACTTCGTTCGTATGGGAAACTATCTTGCCCGGTCTGGGCTCGGGTCAGAAGAAGTCTATCCGGGAGCTCGGTCCGTGCTTGAAGTAGCAGACCGCCTCCATCCGAGAACCGAGAAGGCAAACACGATCAATCAGATCGTACAGGCTCATACCGAGGGGTTCTACGGGAAGCGTCCTACGATCAACGCTGCGGGAGCTCTGACATTGCTCAGGCATCGAGAGTGTTACTTCAATGCTGATAGACTTGCTATCATAGCGAACATGTGCGATTACGACTTCCGATTAGATACAAGGAAAGTCAACGCCAATTGCAGTTCACTGCGCCTAGCCATATTGGCACTGACGTTGAGTAATGGCGACCTATCTTTGCTAGCACCAGAGGCGTATCTACCTGAGGGCAATGAGGACCAAGAGGAAACCTACGCTGGAAGTGCATCGAGCTCGACCCTGTTCCAGAACATCTTTCTGGAGGCGAATCGAATCGATTACTGTGAAGTTCGCGACTACATCAACATACGACTCCAAACAAGCAGACAGGGTAGATTCACTGCCGAAGGAATGCTTCTCCATTCGTATCTTTGGTCGGTCGATCGCGAGATCGACTTTACACCCATACAGGCGGAGTGGGCCGATACATGGGAATCCTACAAATGCTGGGTCATACTTTTTGAACGCCAGAAAGACGAGACCGTGGAACAAGCTCGTGCGCGTCAAGTGGCATTTATCCAGCGGTTCAACCAACCAAATGTAGCCACACAAGCTCGTCAGGATTTCCGCCGCTGGGGTCATATCCCAAACGGATCATCTGTATGGGGAAACCTCGACCATACCGGCATACAAGTAAAACGAAGACTCGACGCGAAACGCGTCAAGCAAGTACCCGCGATGCGCAACACAATCTCTCAGATCATCTTTGGCGTTCTCCAGTATATCAGGTACACGCTGGCCGCATCTGAAGACGAAGGAGACTTAATGAAGGGTCTGGCCAACAGCGTATGGCAATCCGTCCGCACAGATGGAGTCAGCTTGGAGCACCAATTACCAGACAAAGTCGACGATACGCTGTTTGCCCACCCGGACGTTGTGAACCAGCCTTTTGCCACGCTGCAGCTCGACGAGACTCTCGAAGCGAGCCTCGCACAGTTGTGGTTCATCGACCGCATCATGCAGCACGGCCGACTCTGGTGTGGAACCTACACGCCGCCCAAACGACCAGCCCGTCTTACCTCACCACCCGGCTCCCACCCCAACACCACGTACGAAGAAGACCTAGCAGCGCACAACGAACACATATCCGCGATCCCGGCATCCCAACGCTCAATCATAAGCCGTCAACTCGCACGCCAGTTCCTCACCGTCGGCGTCGAGAGCACGCTTGCTAGGAAAGGGAAGCAAGGGAGCACCCGCCACACCATGGTGACGTTGCCGGAGATTCTGCGCAGGGATCTGTGGTCTGATCGGAAAGAGAGGATACGACAAAGAAGTCTCATGGCAGCCTTCGATGTGGATGGGCCTTGTCTAGTGGCCACGCCGTATAATCCTGAATGGGAGGTTTTTCCGCGCCCGAAGCTTCGTAGTACTAGTGTGTGCTGGGTCGTTGAAGTGAAAGAAAATGGAGGCGGTGCTGCAGGAACATCTGCTGGGACGGAGGACGACTCATCGGATGTGGTGGACTCTGATGTTGCAAGTGCGATAGAGGACAGGGGGAAGGGGAAGGGGAAGGAAAGAGCAGGCGTTGACTTAGCTGATGCTGAAACTGACAGAGAGGCTGATGATGGAAAGGCTGGGAAGGGTAAGGAGCAGCGGGATCTCGACTTGAGGGTGCTGAGAAAAGTGAAGGGGTTATGGCGGATTATGGATCTTCCTTCTCAGGTGTATCTGTTTAGTTAGGAATAGTGCATTGAGCGGTAGGTATGGTTTTATGGCCCGGGCTGTGCATATTGTCGCCTGTACCGCAACTGTTTTCAACATTCTGCACCATCCTTCAAGCTATGAAGAGTCTAATGCAAATAAAAGCAATAAGGATATGTCCAAACCAAACGCTTGATGAGTTTATGATCATGGAAGATCTCTATACGTCGTCTCCTCCTTCGGATATTGAATCAACTCCTGACAACTATTATCGTGATTTTAGCCATTCCGGGCTCGAGGCTATAGTGTCCAGTTAAAATGCTCCAAAGGGGTATGTTTAATGACTGCATCCAGAAATAGCCACTTATTTGATGAAGAACAAAGCCTGTGGCTGAAGGCTGAAGTTTGAAGGGTAAAGGATGGATAGCGCGTAGGCAGGCGGCTACTCTCGCCCCACCAAACCCACTCACATCCCACCCGCGGACTCGTGCAACAGTCATTCTCCACCCAAGCGCCGACGAAGATCCCCTGCCTTTGCTGTTCTCGCGACTGGACCCTTTTATTTAATCATCACCCCCCTCGCTCACCACGACGGCGTCACCAGCCCCAGCCCCCGACAAGCCGCCAAAGCCGCCCTCGCCTCTGCGCATCGCCAGCCAGCTCACGACCGCCTCGGCCATCCTCTGGGACCCCAAGTTCACCTCGCGAGCGCCCCCGGGCAGTCTCCAGCCCGTCCACGCCGGCACGCTTGTCGCCCCGCACCGCACCGACTCGTCCATCAGCGTCCGCAACCTCGGCGACGGCTACACACAGCCCATCGTGCCTACCATGGACAACCGCCGACACCCCAGCTCCTTCCAGCAGCTCGAGAAGCTCGGCGAGGGCACCTATGCCACGGTAGGCAGGAGTGCCATGTCGGCTATACTGTGTGCTAACGTGCCCAGGTCTTCAAGGGTAGAAACCGCCAGACGGGCGAACTCGTAGCCCTCAAGGAGATCCACCTCGACTCGGAGGAAGGCACGCCCTCGACGGCTATCCGCGAGATTTCCCTCATGAAGGAACTACGCCACGAGAACATCGTCCTGCTGCACGACGTCATACACACCGAGAACAAGCTTATGCTCGTCTTTGAATTCATGGACAAGGACCTCAAGCGATACATGGACTCGCGCGGCGACCGCGGTGCTCTGGACCCCGCCACCATCAAGTCCTTCATGTACCAGCTGCTCAAGGGAATCGCCTTCTGCCACGAAGCCCGCGTCCTCCACCGCGACCTGAAGCCCCAGAACCTCCTGATCAACAACCGTGGCCAGTTGAAGCTGGCCGATTTCGGTCTCGCTCGCGCCTTCGGCATCCCAGTCAACACCTTCTCCAACGAAGTCGTAACCCTGTGGTACCGCGCCCCCGATGTGCTGCTCGGCAGCCGGACCTACAACACCAGCATCGATATATGGTCAGCAGGCTGCATCATGGCCGAGATGTACACGGGGCGGCCGCTGTTCCCCGGAACCACCAACGAAGACCAAGTGCAGAAGATCTTCAGGCTGATGGGCACACCGTCTGAACGATCATGGCCAGGCATCTCGCAGCTGCCAGAGTACAAGAACAACTTCCCCGTATACCACACCCAGGACCTGCGCCTTATATTGCCGCAAGTCGACCAGGTGGGGCTTAGTCTACTCAACTGCATGCTGCAGCTGCGGCCAGAGATGCGCATATCTGCTGCTAACGCGCTGTCACATCCATGGTTCAACGATCTCCCACAACGGCAGCAGGAGATGCAGATGCAGGCTCAAGCACAGGCACATGCGCAGGCCCAACAAGCGCAGATGGGCGGCTACCAGGTGCCTCAAAACGCATACTAGACGTATGTCCCCGTTGATCAAGAATCGCGAATTCGAATGAATCTCATAACGGCGCAACTGGAGGCTGCCTATACTGCACGCGAGTATTACAAGAGCGCGCCTGGGTACCAAACGAGTCGAGATTCGTATTGCTATAAAGGAGAATAGGTTACCTGGAATGGGCAAACGTACCGGCAAACGTACATCCCCGATGAGCATTGGCCCGCAGGGCCATTTTAGTATAACGGCGAGCGCTTCACATGGTTTGTAACCGAGCGAATGACCCGCGATTTCTCTCTGGCATCATGTCAGTTGCCACTGCGCCCGTACGTGTCGATGGGGAGGCTTGGTGTGTGGAATGGGGAAACTTTTGTCATGGTTGGGATGGGGCCACTTGATAAGGGTGACTCATTCAGGAGATTTATAGACATGCGGCATGTTCTTGAGGTCGTTTTTTGGTTGGCATCTTTAGATGGCTGTGGAACGTATGTTTATACCATGAAGCCCGTTCTTATTGGGTAGTTACTCCCAAGCAACAATACATTGCTACGAAGGTTTACACTGCTTTGACAAAGACACCATATATTCCTTTACTCAATGTTTCCAGTGCCGGGTAGAACGTGTACGGATAAACTCCTTCCCTCTTTCGGTCATCAAGCGGACACTTGCATTCCTCTGGTATAACAACTGGACGATACCTAGCATCGTCTTCGCCATCGTCACCAAGGTAATTATCCCAGTCCCTCAAGCCTGTTTACTGCCTCGTATGTTAGTCCTGCTAGACTTGACTAGATCAGTACGTTAAGAACGGGTAATCAATGTCCGCCAGAATAAATTTTCTTCCCTCTCAGGCAAGTTTAACGACTAGACCTGAGTGCATTCCAGGTTACATACACCAGCAAATCCAGGAAGGCAACTACTAAAGAGCAGCTTCTAGTGTGTTCACTGTCGGAGCAGCGTGATTAGTCTTACACATCTCTAATGATAACTCTACCGTCTTTAGTGTTCGTTGTAGATTAGTTACGCTTTTTGGTTTGCTCGTGGACGTGCCGTGCCGGCTCTAGCATCCGTCTTCTTCCACGTCCGCGTGCAATCTCGGAACTACCTAGGTAGCATATACAACATCCCTAGCCGAGCTATGCATGGGAAAGAACAACAATGCTGATACCACGTTGATCTATAGTGTAAAGACCCTACTTCTAGCACAATCCCTAATATTCTACTCCCTGGTATATTACACCTGCGACTTCTCCCATTTGCAAAACCATCTCCTCGTCTGGGTCGTCGATGTTAGGGAAGTTATAAGTGATTTGTTTCGCTCTGCGGTAATGCAGTACTATTGGATGAAAGGAACTTTTACTCTCTAATGATTACTTGGACAGTCGCAGAACATAGAACTATCTTCTTATCTTGAGCTTGAAGCTATGCGGGCGATATGATGAGATTGAAGTGCGCGGTGGCTACTACATTGCGCGCGCTTGTAAGGTATCGTGAATGGGGACATGAATTAGAATGACTGATTGGAGAGGAAGTACGCAGTTTCATTTTCCTTTTATTTCTTCTCTGGACACTAGCGGCGACACATGATTGTTGTGGATCTGGTCGTTGAGATGGAATTATACTGAGAACAATGGTTGCGACATATTTGGTCCAAGCATACCGCCTTATCCTGTGAGTACGGAACGCTGGTGTGAGCTTTACATTACGAAATCAAGCTCAGTAAAGATGACACATTTGATAATTGATGTTCTCGACCAAGAATAGGTAATATTGCTATGTAAATTGATGTTGCTCATGTATGGGGTGTTGCAAGCCGTCGAGTGTAATTTTAGAAGGCTTACTTCAAATCGACTAGCATTACGATTGCATATTGTGTGTCATACTTACCTAGGTAACATCGTGATGTGCACATATCAACACCTGCACATTCATGACAGCAATCAGATGCGATACGAAAGCAGTGCTAGTCTTATCAAGACCAATCGATCCTATAGACCGGTGAGAATGGGGTATTTTTGGAAGGATGAGTAGTGTTTGGGAATCGACGATCTTCATCTTTGTTCTGTATTTGACTTTCCAACGAAAGCTTGTACGGGTCGACGGATCTAGGCGAGATGTCAGAAAGATTAGGTTGGTAATTCGCTTACTTGTTTCAGATTTCGGGAGTGAATGCCGTGATTGTGGTGAAAGGTACTTTGGGTGTTTGGGAGAAGTTGGAGAAGACGGTACTCTTCCGCTCGGCCACCGCGGAATCCGAGTGATGCGTCCACCGCGCGAATAGAAATGCAAGTCAACATTCCTACGCAGGATACTTACCCCGTTCCAGTCACTGGTGGTGAGACGGCTGTTGTTCCCTTGACGAATAGACTTGTGATATGGTAGCGTGATTGCTGCAGAGGTACCTTGGTAGTCTCAAAGCTCTCTCGGTAACTGTGAGCATGCTCTCCCAGTCGTCCTGCGATCGCACTCGGCTCGTGATAGCTCGATTGTAGCGGTTGTAAGCGGTACATTGGGTGGTTGGGTATGTAATCTTGGAATGGCGCTGATTTGCCGACAGAGTCTGAACTGGTACGTCTCCGTTTGCATCCACGGTACTGCGAAGTGCTGTCCTATTCATATCACTTGTCAACAAACCTCTTCATCGCACAACAGGACATCTCGGGAATACCATGATGCTTTTCTCGATTCATAGTACTAAGGGAAGACTCAGTATTAGCAAAGCAAGTTGGTAGATGGACTCCATATTGCGCGTACCTGACTGGCGAGACAGCCCTTCGTCGAATAGTCGGTAACATCTGACGTTCAAACAAGATATGCAAAGGCCATGATGATCATTCCATGTACAAACATCCCGTCTGACGATGTACGCTGAGTCTTACTTGGGATGTGCAGCCTGAGCTCAGGGCACTGACTCTTCCCGCGTTGTACCTCGTACGAACCTCACAATGATGTGCCGGAGGTATTGCCGTATCTAGTTCTTGATCTGCCTTTTCACGATCCATGACTCAATCAGCATAGACGGATGGCCTTACATTGTTTCGACAAATCGGAAAGGCAGTTGTGCCTTCTGTATCCGGGGATAGAGTTCTATCGACACCATGCATGAAGCTGCATGATGTCATCGCAGGAAACCGCTTCTTTTTGATCCAACATCCATCTCCATGAAGCTATATCGCATGTTCGAGACACCAAAACGCCATGTTCATGCTAACGAGTGACGTTGGCTTCAGTCCTCCGCGGAGCTCATGCCAAGCATCACGAATCTTACCAATGGCGCAGCCGCTAGCGGAGCATAGACATGGGAAGGTACATACATAGCATTGCCAACGCCCCGGATCTACAACAAGCCTCAACACCATCGCTTATTCACCCATTACCAAGACTGACTGCATCTCACGAACTTTTGAGTTTCTTCCAGTGGGCAATCTTGCTGCCTTCCGAGCCATGACGTGTGGCGTACCTGTGATACGACTGGTGGCAAACCTACTTCTGGAGGCGGGTCCAGCGTGTCTCATTCGCGGTCTCGACGCCGTTGAACCAATTTTGATCGCTGCCGGCAGCATCTCGGAACCTTGACTGTCTCGATCCGACGGTGGAGACCGCAAAAGGCCCTTTAGGAAAGAGGATATAAGCCATGAGGGAGTCGCTACTGTCCCCAGTACAGAAACTCTGAGTTTGCTATCTCGTGCGGAGAAGCACAATGGTCGACGACGCCTCGTGGCGAATGCGGCATCCCATGCAGCCCTCACTCGCTACGCTTACCAGGGGTATTTCCGCGAACCTTACCAACGCATCGCCAGCTGCGCCTCGCTGAAACTACCCATCGAATACGGATTCGGATCATGGCTACAGTCTACCTTACCTCCCGACCAGATGCATGACCTCTGTCGTACCTGTTGGGTGGCATGACGACGACTGCGCGGCAAACACCGGCCCATACCGCCAATTAGGTGTACATGAAATCTCTCGAGTATGGAGCAACTGTCGGCGCCATTGCTCCGTTTCATGACCATCCCGTGGGACATGGCCAGTCAGTACCAGTTTTGATGTTCGGGAAGCGGTCAGTCCGGAGTTGAGGCCTTGTCGCCAGTTGGATCAGTGTTCAGAGGCCTGACATCCCGTCATGGAGACCATTCAGCCTCACGGACGGAACCCCTCGTCCTTGCCCATGCCAGATTTTGCGTGCACAGTTCCCTTTATCATACCAGAGCCGCATCAGCACTTGGAAAATATATCGCAAAAACCCCGGGACATCCATTACGGAATACCTGCCCATAACAGCCCAACGGGGGAATCTCGGCTAGTTACAGTCACCCTAGTAAGGCACTAACGAAGCTCCCGTCGCTTTGCAAGAACCGCCCGTGCCAACGCTGCAGGATGCCCAGCGGTCAGGCTAGGATGTTTCTCCAAGCAAGGTCCAGCCCACCAGACCGCCTAAGCCCCATGGCTTGCGACCGTGTGGTAGGCGTTTGACCGGCGTCCGACGCGCTGCCCTGCAGACTCTTTCCCCAGCCGTGGAACCAGGGACGCAGGCCGCTTCTCCATGCTGGATCATTGGACTCGCAAACCATCACCCCCATGTCAACTCGCGCAGTGATGCTAACTAGTTGAGTCTAATATGCACTTTGGACGCTTGGGCTTTTCAATCGTCCAGGTTACCTAGGTGCGAATGAGCATTCATTCAAGCACAATGACACAAGGAACCTTCGATGATATCTCCCCGAGTGTAGGCGCAACATGTCTGTTGTACTAATAGGAACCAGCGGATCCGCTCGGCGACTGCATTCCTCATCAAGTAGATGACGAGACGTTCCCACACTAGCTTGTCCTCCAACATGGCTTCCACTCCTACCACCACTGCTCCGGTCAAGCGGGCTTGCGATAGGTACGTCGCCGTCGGTACACATTTCACATGCCACACCACTAACATCATCAACTTCTAGCTGTCACCGAAGAAAAGTAAAGTGCATTGGCGAAGGCACGGCCCCTTGCAAAAACTGCGTCTCTGCTGGTCTTGCATG